ATTATAGACTTTCACTACTAGGCAGGGAGATGCAACTAAATTACCACAGCTAGAAAGCGGCATACTAAAATGAGTAAAAATTTGGTCGCGAAATGTTGTAAAATGCGGGAAATATAGCCTTGCAAAGTTTGCAAATTTTGTATACTTTTGTATTGCGTGCCGAAAATGGTAGCAATTTCCGCACGCAAACAAAAGTATTACAAAATTTGCAAACGGCTTTGCAAGGCTATATTTTCCGCATTTTACAGCATTTCGCAACCAAACGTTGCAATTTTACTCATCGTAGTATGTGCTCTTTCTAGCTGTGCCTGTGCCCAGGGACGCCGGAACTGGGGGGGGGGGGGGGGGGGGGCTGCCCCCCTTGCCTTTTGCTAGGGGGGGCAGGGGGGGCAGAAGTGCCCTTTTAGTTGTAAAATAATACGTGATAAATCACATTTCCAACGATGCTTTTTGTAGGAAAATCACGAGATTCAGGTAATTTATAGTTTATATTTATAAAAATTTTGGGAAATTTTCGGAATTTAGAAAAATATTTTTAAGAAATGGCGAAAATTTAAGATATCCGGAAAAATTTTTGGCTTCACGGAAACATTTTGTATGTCCGGAAAAAATTTTGGACCCCTAAAATGGTACACTGACCGAAATTTTTTTGGCGAGTGGGGGGGGGAGGTCGCCAGTGAAAAAAAAAATTTCAGTAAAGGTGCCCTTGGTGTGCGTCCGCCCCCCTTTGCCCTATTATCGTTCCGGCGTCCCTGCCTGTGCCCCTGTGGTGCCGATTTATTTGCATCTCCTTGCCGGCTGTAGTTTTGAAATTAGTCTATAATGCGAATTGTACTATTCTCTGTAAAATTTTCTGTTTTTCTGTAGCGATTTATACCAAATTCATTTTCAAAGTATCAAAATATGGCCACAACATTTAGTTTCCTTTGTTTTTATTTATTATATAAAGTATAGACCATAGTGCTTTATAGAGATTTCGAGCACTGATAAAACTGATAACCTCACATGTGAGTTATTTATGATAATCTCGCATGTGAAAATTATCGCTTTTCAAATTTCAATTATCGCTTTTCTCTAAAAATTATCGCTTTTCAAAGACTGTCCTCAGTGTCCTGTACTAATAAACAGAAAAATACACTGTGCGCGAACGAGTGAGATATCATGTTCAACACGAAAAATAAATCTGGTATTTCCAAGCACCCATGTATAAAGGCCCGTTTCCACTCAGGAAAATTTTCCAAGGAAAGAAAAATTTGCAAAATGTGATTGGCCGACAAAAATTTTCCGTCGGAAAAAAATTTTTGAAGTTTACTCTCAATGCATGATATTTTCGGAAAAATTTCTGTCCGTGGAAAATTTTCTTGAGTGGAAATGAGCCTTTATCAGTCTATATAATAAATTGTGGCGAGAAATACATTTCTCGTTTTATTCAAGGCATTTTTAACACATGAAAGCTGCGAAATATGAATTTTATCTCGGTATTTGTTTATAAATCGGTAACCGTTTACACAGTAATACAGAACAAATTACAGAAAATGTCAACACACTACAAAAGCGGGAAGGTTCTTGTATTTTGACTGTAACTTGTTCGATCGGGTATATTGGTTTCCCGAGTTATTATGCCCGATCTATAGCTAATTGTTTAAAACCCGATGGCTTTCAGCCAGACTGATTATGCCCGATCTAATTGTTTAACACCCGATTGAATTGTTTAACACCCGATTGAATTGTTTAAAGCCCGATTGAATTGTTTAAAGCCCGATTGAATTGTTTAAAGCCCGATTGAATTGTTTAACGCCCGATTGTTTAAAGCCCGATTGAATTGTTTAAAGCCCGATTGAATTGTTTAACACCCAATGGCTTTCAGCCCGCATTAATTAAACACTGTCCGAAGTGTGATTTTTCATTAATACTTCGAGAACAAGTGTAATTTCCTATTAATATAATTTTATAGTCAATTTTACACGAGCAATCAATGATAAGAAACATTACATTAATGTACTCAAGCGAGCACAGCCATGCGCGCCTTTGTCAATTTTGAGAGTCCAAAGATCCAGGGTGGAGTGGTTGAAGAAACTGAGAAGAAATGCTTGTTTCTGGTGTTTTTTCAAAGAACAAATTTCGCTGATCGCTACTGCAGCATGAAAATATATGATCATTATCAGGAGTTGTCACTCTTGAACAATTAGATAATTCATCATCATCACTAATTGTTTTGGAATATTCACCTACGCCATCGGTCGGAACGTTTTGACTCTCTTGCAGAGACATCGATATATTACCAGTGGTTTGAGAAGGAAAGTTCCCAATAATGGACAAGAAATCTTTTCCTTCACGATCCATTTCAATTGGTTCCATATATACTTCATATATTGAATCAGACTCACGTTCATTACATTCAACATGGGCATCCAATGGTGATGTGTCTGGAGATACTCCACTGTCATTTGGACTGTCAATGTCTTCTTTCTCTTGTTTAATACTTACTGGTAAACATTCATCCGAGAATGAAATATTCATATTTCTTATTTCTTTGTGAGCACGATAAGGTAGATTTGTGCAATGTTTCAGGTGACCATCTGAGTGTCCAGCTAACACTTGACTGTCATTTTCTGCATACATTGCTGATAAACATTCTTCCGCGCAAGAAATACCTACGTTTCCTGCTTGTTCGTAAGTACCATTTGGCTCAATTGCAGAATGTCTTTCGTGACCATCATTGGGATCATGGGGAACATCACAAAAAAGTTCGGCTGAAACCAGAGTGTTATTCTCTTTATTAGAATCACAATCGCCCATATTAACATTTAATGGAGATATGGGAGGAACGAGGTCTAGGTGATTACCTTGCAAAGGTTCTAGTTCATCTTCTTCCTTGTCTTGATCATACAACGGTTTAACCATTGTACAGGATACATCAGAATGAACACGCTTGTGAGCTGACAAATCTCTATACTTTTCAAATTTCTCTTTACAAACACTGCACTCGTATATCTGATCTGAAAAATGTATTCGTCTACAATGCTGCAGCAAAGTACCTCTTTGTGTGAAACCTTCAGAGCAGAATATACATTTATAAGGCTTTTGTCCATTGTGTGTCCTTTGATGAACTGTTAATGCGCCAGGAGTTCGAAACGTTTTGCTACAGATTGTGCAAGCATGAGGATTTTCTCCAGTATGAGTTCTCTTATGATATTTTAGCACGTGTGCACGTGAAAACGCTTGACTGCAGACATTACACTTGTACTTCTTTCCAGTAAGACAGGAATTGGCATACTCTTCTTTCGCCGATCTTGCTAGCACCTGTTCATCAGCATGGTTTGTGATCACACAACCTATAATTGATGTCTTTGAATGCGTCTTGTAAGTAGTGCTCTCTGAGTCACCAGAACTTTGGAAACTATTCCTTTTCTTTTTTCTGGTACAAAATAGGCTACCAGAACTGGACTTATCCTCACTAACAGATATACCTTTCCTTTCTTCATCAACTGAACAGCTTCTAATTGATAAGTTCGAACGTGCCTCACACCTGGTGACTTTTAACTCGCCATGTCTTTGACAACGATCTCTCGTGACTTGATTCAAAGGGGCTTCACGTTGAACAGTTTGACATGGGGATTTCCCTTGGTTTGAAGTCCCTAAATGGGTCTTCTTGTGAGATGATAGCTCTTTGAATTTCTCGAACTGTTCCTTACAAACTTCGCACTCGTAAATCTTTTCTGATTGATGTTCGCTCCTGCAATGTAGTCTCAAAGGTCCTAATTGAGTAAACGCTTTAACGCAGAAAATACATTTATGAGGTTTGTGTCCAGTATGCGTTCTTTCGTGGTACTTTAGAGTAGCTGTTCCTCGAAACATCTTGCCACATATTGTACACGGATAAGGATTTTCTCCAGTATGTGTTCTCTTATGATATGTTAACAAATGTTTTTGAGAGAAGCGTCGGTTGCAGATATCGCACTTGTGTCGTTTTCCATCATCAAATCGTTGTCCTTCATCAAATTGTCCATTGACATTGCATGGGCTGGTGTCTTTATTACTAGGTGAATTTCGTTTTAAACAACTTTGGTGCTTTTTATGAATCCACAGGCCTGCGGGCTGACTAAAGGATTTGTCGCAGATATTACATTTGTAACATTTTTCACCATGTATTTTCTCGTGCAACTGCAGGTATGTTCGACGTTTAAACGCTTTTCCACAGGTCTGACATTCGTATATTTTGTCACTATTTCCTGACTGCGACATATCTTTTGTTAAAGACAAAACAAGCTTTCTTGTGACTGTTTTTCACTGCAGATGTCATGCATCCTTCACTTCATATTCCAATATGGACGTGCCCCGAGGACCTGAAATCAATAAATTCGAGTCAATATAAATACAATTCTAATCCAAATGTAACCACTATCTACCTATATCCCTAATCCTAATCCTTGCTCTACTAGCCAAGGAGAAGACCCATCTAGTCTGCTTAAGTGAGGGAATATTCAAGGGGATTCTTTGTTACCTTTGTTTTTCGTGTGTCCAATGATTCCACTGATTCATATTTTACGGAAGACAAAACCCAGATAGCGGGGGGAAATCAATCTTTCACTGCATGCTATACGGTGTAACAATATTATTCAATATTGTTGACAACTGTGAACAATGTGGGCAACACAACATTGTTCAATCCTGCTTTCATCAATATTGCAACACCCTGATCTTTCTTAGCCGTGTTGTCTACACGGCTAAAAACGCACAGGTTGTTGCAAGTTGATATCGACAGGCGTGAACAATGTTGTGCGGCCAACTATGAACAAGTTGTCAACCATGTTGTTCCAAGTTGTTATAGTTGATCAATGTTGTAACAACATGTTGGCAATGCTGTTCATAGTCGGCCGCACAACCTTGTTCGCGCCTGTCGATATCAACTTGCAACAAGTTGTTGCCTACATAGGCTAAGTAAGTAACATGAGCGTAATACTTGATGTAATCGGTTACTGAAAAGCTCCAATGGCGAGTGAGCTGAATGATAATGTAATGTAATATAGGAAGAAAGGTATGTTAGTATGATCGGATGGAATAAAGCTGCTAAATGATGAAAAAATAAAATAAATGAATGGGTCGTCTATAGAAACAGGTGGCAACAAGAGAAGTGATGAAAAGCAAAATTATCAAGGAATATATTAAGTACAGTCAGGAAGATTTTGAAGTCAAAGTTGAGTGGAGAAGTTACAAAAATTATCAACAGTTGGGCAATATCTGTGTTTTAATACTCGGCAATATTTCTTGAGTAGACTAAGGAAGAAATGCAGGGATTGTAATCCCTTTTCACAGTATAATCCCAGATATATCTCGGAAAAAATCCCCCATGAAAAATATTATCGCCAATTTCTCCTACGGTGTTTAAGTGCGATAATGTTCATAAATTATATGCACGGTTCCGGTTGCACGTTGTTTTTTTAATACATCTCAACTGACTCGCAGTTCCAAGACCAAGTCACAGAAACCTTGGTAGCGTGCAGTGATGTAATACTGCTATGAAGCAAGTAAAAATTCAAGGTACTTTTAAGAGTTCGGTTTCTCTAGGACTGAATGCAAATAGTTTTGTCTTCTGCGATCTACTTTCCGCAATTGGAATTAACGTGTGTCAAGAAAATACGCTAAAGTCATTAATTTTGTTTCATCATCAAACGAGGGATCTAAACAAACGGCTTGAATGCCAAGCTTTCTCAAGGTCGCAACTTGCTGGACGCGGATATATTCTAACGGGCTAACAACAGCAACAACGAAATTCTTTATCGTACCATGACCAAGGCGATGTAATTTAGAAACCAACGCCGGTAGGACCTGACAAATAAGACTTTTGCTGAAGCCAGTTGGCAGAACAGCAAAGACATCTTGGGCCTTGCCGCCTTGGCTGTCAACAAGCTTTCGAATACATGACTTTTGCTGTTCTTTCAGAGTCGTGTGGCCAAACTTCGTCAAAGATTTTGATAAAGCCCTTTCAAAATACTGTTTGTTTTATTTATTTTCTGCCATAAAGCATAAAACAAAAGAAATTCGATAATACTATTACGATAATCACAATGGAATTTGATACATGCGTTTGACCTTGACACTGTGGTCACATTGACCGGGCTATCTATAAAATATAGTTCATGTGAACTTGCAATCAATCAAAATCTTTCATGATGCTGATCAACCAATCAGATTTCCCGTCCACCAGATGGACGGGAATCCCATGGTTTAGACAGGTCCTATTTATATTAGGGCCTGAATTTCGGGTTAACTTTAATGCATCTCTTGCATGCTGATCTTTCTATCAGAATTTCATTGTGCTTATATTCTAAACAGAAATCGAGAAAAACAACTTTGTAATAAATAATATAATAATTTATTCATTTCAATAGAGTGCACATAGTTTATGTAAAATACTCAAAGCGCTGTACATTGTAAAAAGCTAAAAATACATCTAGTAAATATAAGATAATAACTGACGTTAAAATATAGACTAGTGAGTATATCTACGATAAGAAGGATAAAATACGTGGTCTTAGACTATAAAAGGTTAAAAGCCTTACTAAAAAGGAATGTTTTCAAACGTTTCCTGAAGACTGAAATGTCGTCACAGTTCCTCACATTCAGTGTTAGGGAATTCCACAGTTGTGGAGCCGCATGAGAAAATGACCGATCACCTAAGGTCTTACAGTTAGTTTGCGGGATATGTAGCAGTCCTAGATCATCCGATCTTAATGTTCAGCGATCGCTTGATGGTTTTGGGATGAGCAGTTCAGAACTGTAAATAATAGGGGCCATGTTGTTAAGAACCTTGTAAACTAACAAAGCAATTTTGAATTCCACCTGACATTTTACTGGTAGCCAGTGAAGTGTAATCAATACTGGAGTGACGTGTGAGAATCTTGGACAATGATGAATTAATCTGGCAAGCAGCATTAAGTACTCTCTAAATTCGTTGGACATGATATTGAGGTATGCCAGCCAATAGAGCGTTACAATAGACCACATGTAATGTCACGAAGACATGTATTAGACTTTTTGTTGTGTAAATACAGTAGATAAAAATTTTCTAATTTGTCGTATTTTATAAAGTCCCCCCAAATGCTTTACTGCATGCTTGTCAAACCACGATCCCAAATTACAAATACTGTCAACCGGCTTAATTTGGACTCCACCAACATTTACGGGTTCAATTTCAATTTTCGAAAGTTGTTGAGGTGTACCAATTACAAGAAATTATGTTTTCGAATCTTTAAACATTAGTTTGTTAGACACCAGCCAAGCACGAACACCAGAGATACATTCTTCCAGTGCAGACAAAGTACTCTCTTGATTAGTTCGGACAAAAATGCACATAAAGTTGTGTGTCGTCAGCATATCCATGAGAAGAAGGCAAATGTCTGTCTATAATGTCATATAATTGGGATAGCAAAAAAAGTATAGGGTCAAGACAGCTCCCTTGAGAAACCCGTTTTTAACATCGCAGACTTCAGAAAAGTCGTTATCTAGATCAACTCTTTGTTTTCTGTTAGAGAGAAATGACTTTATCCATTCAAGAGCTTTGTCCGTCACTCCAAATTGATACTCCAGTACGTTAACTATAGTTTTCTGATCAATTGTATCAAACGCAGAGCTTAAATCCAAGAGCACAAGGAAACAAACTTCTTGCCTGTCCAAACTCAGAAGAATATCATTTTGCACCTTTAAAAGAGCTGTCTCAGTCGAGTGATATTTCCTGAAGCCACATTGGCAGATTGGAAGTGGTGAATTTTTTTCACAATGGCGCAGCAATTGGTTATCAATCGCCTTCTCAGTGATCTTTGAGAGAAATAGCAAATAGGACACTGGCCTAAAATTCTCGAATAATGGCTCCATACTAAGCTTTTCCAAAATCGGCTTCAGCAGAGCAACTTTCCAGTGATCCGGGACTCGACCCTCTTGCAAGGAGAAATTTACAATTTTAGTAATAGAGGGTACAAGTTGAATCGAACAGAGTTTGACAAGCCATGATGGAATCGGATCAAGTTTGCAACTGGCACTGAACAATTGCATAACAACATCATGAATATCCTGGAAAGATAGAGACTCAAAAGATTCCAGTTTGACTTCGGGATTCCGGTATTCTACCAACGGGGGCTCAACAACAGTAAGATCCACATTTTCTCTAATCAATACAATTTTGCGAAAAAAGTATTAATCGAACGTGTCAGCAAGTTGACCAAGATCGTTATGTGGAGGTAAAGGATCTTCCTGGGGTGCATCACAAAGGGAATTCACAATTCTGTAAAGTTTATTTGGGTCATTAGAGTTATCTTTAATGAGGGTAGCATAATAAACAGTTCGAGCTTTAATCATGCACTAAATGACAATACCTGTTACATATCTTTCGATAGGCAATCCAATCCACTTCTAGTTTTGTTTTCCTCATCTTTCTCTCTAGACTTCTACGCTTTACTTTCAATTATCTTAGTTCAGCATTATACCAAGGAGTTGATCGCTTAACTTTCAGTATCTTTCTTCGGACAGGGGCGTGGTTGTATAAGATACGTGAAAGTTCATTATCATAACACTACGTCAGTTCATCAACTCATCAAGATTTACAACGTTTTCACAAAGATAATTCACGCAACTTAGATCGGCCTTAAAGTCGTCGAAGTTAATCCTTTTCATCTCACAATAAGATTCCTTTTTCAGGGTGCATCGGACGGGGAATAGATAGTTTACATTCAACAAAACAGTTATCATGGATAGATATAGAGTAATCTCAATTTAAAGGATGTTAATGTCAGTTGTGGATCGGGTTATCAATAGATCCAGTATGTATAGTTCGACGAATGAGTTGGAGTACTAAAGCAATAAAGTCACACAGGAAGCCATTTTTGAAAGCGTGCCCGTAGAAGAAAAACAGTAAACCGTGAACCGGCCGAGAACAGTTTTATTTCTGAATTCTAGTTGAACTGATACTTGGATATTTTGTTTTATTCATTAAAAATTTATACTAAAACAATTATTCGCCTCAGGCTCAGTGATTACGGTGAATATTCACCTCGACTTCGTCTCGGTGAATATTCACCGGTAATCTCTGAGCCCGAGGCGATTAATTGTTATTATTACAGTATATGTGGTGATTTGGTAAACTTCAATAATTATAAAATTGAAACGTTTGCATCAAATTTCCAAATATACAAAGTCATGCATTTACCCCAGAACTTAAATTTTTTACATATTCTAATAACTTAGAAATATATCTGTCCGATTCTGCCGTCAGGAAAAAAATCATATTAAATATAAAACGCTTTCCGAAGTCTGTATATGCTTGGCGGGAAAACTG